GGACCACAGGTGCATACCACCAAGCCTCACTCATTTTTGTATTTTTTGTTGAGACAGGGTTTGGCCACGTTGCCCAGGCTGGTCTTGAACTCCTGGGCTCGGGTGATCCACCCGCCTTGGCCTCCCAAAGTGTTGGGATTACAGGTGTGAGCCCTGAACCTAGCTGGAAAATACCTTCTAATGTTCAACCACAGAAGAGTATTCAGGTAAAGTATAGCACAACTATTCACATAATGAAGTCTGTGAGTAGTTGTACTATAATTTAATTAAATTTAATAATTTAAAATGGTGTTAGAGAAAATATTTAATAACATACCCAGGTAATTACTATATATTGCTGAGGGAAAAACAACTTATTTTATGATCCTAGTTTTGCAAATATAAATTTGAATATATTTGGGGTGCACAGCAAAATCTCAGGGTAGTGAGATAGGGAGATCTTTCTTTTTTTTCCCCCCTCTCTTCCTCCCTTATTGTCCAAAGAACACATGTCACTTTTGTGATGATGGCTTTTGATAATGCCACTCCAGATTATTGTCCCAGAAGAGCTAAGCTAACCTTGCAGGTGGGTCCAAGGCACTTCTGCAGGTTGATCCGATCGGCTTCCTGCTCCATTTCCCCATTGAAGTCGTAATAGGCCATGTCCCCCACCAGCAGGGCATTGTGGGAGACAGGCAGGAGGCCCCACTTCATGGCCGACACCTTAGAGAGACAATGGCATGGTTAGCACCTGCAGGCCTCCCAGCCCTTTCCTCAGAGCAGAACAGTCCAGCTCCACTCTGGGGGCTGGTGAGGAGTGAGGGTGGGGAGCAGGCACAAGAAAGGCCTGGGCTCCTCCACCACCTGGCTTGGGTGTGCTGTCACGTGGCTTGCTCTAGCGTCTTTTCATCACTGCTTTCACAGCAGCCACGTCAACATATCATCTTTTAGAATTGCTAGAAAGAATGCACTCCAGAGACCTATTGCTGCCCCTCCCACTTCCCCTGCCTCACACAGCTTTGCTTTTGTCATATAACTCTGGGAAGGGGCAGGCTGTGGTGGAGTTTGCACCAGGCTAGGGTAAGCAGAGCCCAGATCTCTTGGGGTAGGCTGGAGACCCTCAGCTTTGGTTTCAGTGCAGACAAGATCATGACTTTTGACAAAGAGAGAGGCCCACTGAAAAGTCCCATGTTAAAAGGAATGAAATTATTAGCTACCCAATACAAAGGTCCCACCTCAAAAGCAATCTCTTGCCCCTGGGACTGGGATAATACAAGTGCTGGGGACCAGGGTTGAAACACAGGTTGTAACCCATTGCCCCACCACTTATTAAAAGTGAGCTGCTCATGGTGGATAGAGTGTGCAATATTTTTTTTTTAAGCAAGGAGCATGGAGGGGTTTAGAAGAACCCTTGCCCTCCTTCACTCATTCTGCCCTGACTCAGCCCTGAGCTCTGCAAAGATGCATACTCGGCACAAATACATCTTCACATCTTAGATCAAATTCTGGAAGGTCTGAGTGCTCATAACCAGTGTACTTTGCTGAGAAAACGGGCTGATAACAAGTCAGCCTACTTTGTCCCTGTAGGTGTGTGGCCTAGGGGTCAGCAGGGTAGGGTGGGGTTCGGGGGGAGTGCCCAGAACTGGTTGTCTGCCGTCTGTCTAAGTAACATCGCAGGGCCTTAGGCACACATGGAGAAATGACCAGGGGGGGACAACCTGCTCCTTGAGGCTCTTCTTTCTATTCCCTCTCAGTTTTGTTTGCAATGTCCCCTACTCTCAGCCTACGCTGAGCTATGGGAAAGTGGACACAGTCCAAGTTCCCACCAACTGGTTGTGTCCTCTGTCAATATATCTCCTCACCAGAGCCTGGCTTCGTGGGGGCAGGCCCCACCCCTTGGTCCAACAGGACTGACCTGAGTAGAAACTTAGAAGGCACTGTCCCCTGGGCAAGGGGTCCCAGCTTGTGTATGCAGCAGGGTGGGGACACAATGCAACAGACATTCCATGTCTTCACGTTATGCTATGACTTTAGTAGTCAGAAAGGTGGAGAGGCTGGGCGTTTCCACGTTGGGAGGTCTTTCGCTTCACCTTGGCCTGAGTTCTAGATCTTTCCAGACTGTTTAAAGTGACGAGATTGCTACAACCTCGGCTGCCTTATGTCTTTCCCTGGGTGGCTGAGAAGGAGCCCACTCACCGCTGCTGTGGCCGGTGTGTGCAGGTGGATGATGCAGCGCACGTCGGGCCTGGCTGCATAGATGGCCGAGTGCAGACAGAAGCCCGTGGTGTCCACTGGGAAGCAGCTGCTGCCCTTCTCCACCACCTCTCCCAGAATGTTCACCTTGATCTGCGCCAGGGAAGAAGAGAGACTTATGGCAACAGGGTGGCGGAGGCCCCTCACTCCTCTCCCAGCTGGTGGGCCCAGCATGTGCCACCCACCTATCTTCACACATTCCAGACACCATAAGCAATGATGGACTTGGTGTTGGAAGAAAACAAACCAGTTCCTGCCCTCAGTGAGCGCACAGTCTAACAGGAACACAGACGATTGTAATTCAGCAGGAGAAATGCGAGAGCAGAGTTTCTCAGACTTGACTGTGCATGAGAATCACCCAAAGCCCAGTCAAATGCAGGTTCTGATTCAGAGGCTGAGAGGGGCCTGAGAGCCTGCATTTCTAACAAGTTCTCAAGTGATTCACAGACCACACATGTGGTAGCAAAGTGCTAGAAAAGAGTCATGCACAGAATTCTCTAGACAGAGACAGAGGGAGTCTTTCATCCCAGCAGAGCATCTGAGAGGCCTTCCAGGGGGAGTAATGTCTACATTGAGCCCTTTCTCAATAAGGCGCAAAGAGGCTGCGGCTGCTTTACAATGACAGCTCTAGCCTCACTCTGCACCCCTACTCCCCTGCCTCCTGGATAAAAAGCAGTAAAATATTTAATCACAGAATTTCCCATGTCCTGAAAGCCCACAATCCAAGGTAAACAGAACTCTCTCTCAAATCACCCAGCACAAATCCAAATCCCGAAGCCAGCCCCTCCCAGTGCACTCTCACTGAACACCTCCCCGGCTTCCTGGAGTGCAATCTCCCGGCAGCTGCGAGTTAACCTAACTTCACTGACTGCAGTTGTTCCCTGGACGTTAACAAGCCAGATGATAGTCTCTAAAACTCACCACAAATTTAGCCCTTAAAACTGAGGCAGCCATGACATTCTGAATGTGGCACACAGAGCAGTTCCTCAAATTGCCCATCACTCCCACTCCAGGAAGCCCAGGCAGACAAGATGGGCATCAAAGCAGGGAGACTGACACTAATGTGGGCGGAGGGATGTGCTGCTGGCGTTTGCTTATACAGAAGCATCAGGAAGATGTTCAACAAATCTCCACTTACAATATCCCATTTTAAGTGAATTTCACAGACGTCAAGGCAGCGTGACCCCTAAAAGCTGCAGCAACTCTCCCACCTCAGGTACTTTAAACCCGAGTATGGAGTGCTGGCCTCCAGTTTCCTTCAGCCCAGCTCCCCCACTTCCTCGGACATGTGGCCTGTTTAGAATTCCCTCTCTCAGATGATCTCTCTCTGATCTTACATATTTTATATCTTATCATTGGATGTGTGATCTGTTGTCACTCAAGAACTTCCACAGCCTAAATCAACAGCCACCCTCCCATATAGTGCCTTTGTACAAATGGGAAAGCAGGTACTCCTTCTTGAGGACAGCCCAGGGACATAGGGCTTGATGTGTGGGTATTGCCTTTGTGCAAATTCAAAACAGAAGCCCAATGCTAGGACACAGTGAGTGGAGTACAGGTTGGATTTCACTCTCTCTTCTCTTCCTTATTAGCCAGGCTCCCTTGTGCAGTGCACAAACTACAACCACACACAGCAGCCCTACGTCAACACACACTCCATAAACATCTCATGCCCATGACTCAAACCTGTATCTCTAGCCTGCATCTCTTCTGAACCTAGAATAACCAAATGTCAACTGACATCTCTTGAATATCCCACCAGCCCCTCAAATTCAATCCCATACTCCCAACCCAACTGATCACCAGGCCTACTAAGCACAGAGGCCCGGAATTTCCTTCTCAGCTTGCTGTAATAACCCCACCTAGGTGTCAGTTGGCCTCCACACAGCTTTCAGAGTGATCCTTCTACAATGGAAACCTGCTTGCATTACTCCCCTGCTTGCACTTCAGTGGCTCTGCGTGTCCAGCAGAATAAAGCCAAAACACCATAACAAGATCTTCCATGCCATTTATCACCTGGACCCTATCCCCTTCCACGGTCACCTCCAGATACTGAACACTTGAGTCAGACTCGGCCACTCACCTGTCCTCCCAAATGCATGCACAGGGCTCTTGTATGCCCCTGGGCTTGATGCATGCTGCACTCCTGCTGAGGACAGAGTCATCTCCGCCAAACCTCTCCTTGCCACCATGGTCTAAGTCTGCTTACCCCACTGGTTCACATCCCACTGAC